TAAAATATTTTATTTTAATTAGTTCCTGAAAATTTCGTTTTTAAAAACCAATTTTTGTTGAAGTTGTTTAGGAAAAAGTAACTACATGCATTTTACTGACATAAGGTTTAAAGGGCCTGCCAGGACAGGGGTGGGATTTAAATACCCTTCACGCCAGTCAAAGAGTTAAGAACTGAGAAATGATACATATAAAACAAAACAAATAAATATTATGTCTACATATTAAGGACAACTAGGGGCATGTGGTAGTGTAGTCCTATAAGGCACTATGCTACAAGCCAGAAGATAATGGGTTTGATTCCCAATGAGGTCACTGGATTTTTTCCATTAATCTAATCATTCCAGCTGCATTATGGCCCTGGGGTCGACTGAGCCTCTAACAGAAATGAGTATCAGGAATCTTCCTGGGGGGGTAAAAGGCAGTTGGCACATAAGGCTGACAACCTCAGCCTTACATTTATATTTATATTTATAAATATATATATATATATAGGACTATCAAACTTCATTAAATGCTTGCACATTCTGTTTGTTATTTGACATAAGTTAGCTAATGGAAGTTGACATCTAGTTTGCTTCCAAAATTGCTGAAGTGGTTCCATGTAACAGTCACATTTTGCGCCAGTTAAGAGTCTGTGTACGTGAATTATATATTGTTGAGACTTGCTTGTTCTAAGTGAAGTAGCATGTATGATGTCTGTTTCTGTTATGAATGTTAATATTTTATAATGTAACTGTTTTAATGATACGGCTTTCCAGTGTGTGTGGAATGGCAAGGTGTGAATTTGACAGTGGTTTTACCACAACCCATGTGTGTTGTCCTGACAACTTGAGCTATCTGTGAGAGGCCTGATTATATATGTTATTGGACAAAGGACAAATGATGTGTAGTCATCATGAATTTGTAATATGGGACATGTTTTATATCCAGCCCTACGGGGATGATTGGATCCATGAAGTGAAGATAAATATATAAATCTGTAAGCTGAATGTCTAAAAAATGTGGAGCCTCGACATCTCACAATCCTATGGGCCTCCACAGCTTGTTACAGGGATAGCTTTACCTTTTTACCTTTTATTAAGCATAACTTCAAGGTTTGGTGCTTAGGCACAGGAAACTTCATCCTGATTCATACTCACAGCTGGTACAGCAACTATCCGTTAATAAATCTATATGTCAAGATATACAGACATCTACTGTCATTCTTCTCAGCATAAATTTTTGTACCTTACCTTCAGTCTCAGTGTTGCTTCTGTATCATAATCATTATAGAGAAGTATGTTCTCTTTCATCCCAAAACTCTCACGTACACCAAGATGATAGAATAAGGCACTTTGTTGAAGTTGAACAGATAAATCGACCACTGCAACATCCGCATTGTAGAATGTATCCAACACATTTGTCTCACCAAAATCAAGTTTCTCAAACTGCAGAGAACATAAAAATGGCAATCAATTTTGTTCATGGTGAAGTGTTCTTAATGCACTGCATTAACTAAGTCCATGGAACAGAGTCCTTCTTGTGAAGCTAACATGTTCCCGGCTACTGAAGGAATGTTTTGCCTTTTATGGAACCAAAAGGTTCATTACCATGACCACAGGAGATACCCAATGGTCCCTACCCTAAGCCACTTAGCTGCATTCAAAGATGAACTTCACTGTACAAGGATTGATCATAAATTTTCAAGGCTTACTTTTCTAATTATCAATAACATACATAACAGAAACAATAAACCACATATATTGTTTAACTGTTTGTGACTTCTGACGCACACAGGGAGCCTACACAGAGTAAGTACAAATAACAGTATAAACATATAAGAATAACATAACATACATAAGATAGTAATACGAATAATTGTATATTACAGATAATACCTGAACAGTGCTGAAAACAAGAAGTAGCCACTGCAGCACTATAGACATAGGGCAGGTATCCCTGAGAATTTTAAATTTTAAAATTTGAAAAAATTTTAAAGAAATTTTTAAATTGGAATTGAAGATTTTAAAATTGCCAGTTTTCGAAAATCAAATTGACGTGTGTAGGTTAACAAAGATTTTGTACATATNCATAAGATAGTAATACGAATAATTGTATATTACAGATAATACCTGAACAGTGCTGAAAACAAGAAGTAGCCACTGCAGCACTATAGACATAGGGCAGGTATCCCTGAGAATTTTAAATTTTAAAATTTGAAAAAATTTTAAAGAAATTTTTAAATTGGAATTGAAGATTTTAAAATTGCCAGTTTTCGAAAATCAAATTGACGTGTGTAGGTTAACAAAGATTTTGTACATATCTGACAGATATCAGCGGGGAGGATTCTGATATATCGAAACCTGTTAGCAATGGAGAAATGAACAATTGGGAGGACTACTGTTTTATTAAATTTTAAACTACGTGCAGTGTACCAGCTATGTGAGTGTATACACCTGATGATGGCCATTTACGGCCGAAACATGTAGTGTAGAAGAAACCAAGACGAAAGAACTACAATAAATTGTTGCACTTAGGTCGGAGTTTGTGTCATATGTTTGTGACTTCATTACGGGTGGGGAAAATTCACTGCTTTGTATGAGTTGTGTTTTTTATTTTTTTTTTTATGTAGGTTACTGAACAATGCTTTCAGTACTAAGACCATACAGCACTGAACAAAGGAGTGACTGATGAACCGGAAAAGATTTGGAAGTGGCCATGGCCTAACTGAGGTATTATCCCAGAATATGTCTGGAGGAGCTGAGTAACCATGAAACCCCCTAGCCAGAATAGCTGGTGTCCCAGCAAAAAATTCAAACCAAGAATCTACTGAACACAAGCCTGGACCAACCTGCTTGGTAATTATGAGTTAACATTATTTTGCATACATGTACTAAAAGTGGTGATTATTACTGTATTACTTCAAATATATGATGCCCTGGGAATTAAAGAGGCATCCAATTTTTGAATGAGGGTTTTATGAAAGAAAAATCAGAAAGGTGTATTCATTTCAATGAGTCTATTCAGAATATATCAAAAGCAGAAAGTAATTGAAAATATATGAGAATGAAATGGAAATTTAAAATCTTCACTATGTGCACATTCCTTTCTATTTTTTGTACTTAATCAGGAACTTTGTCCCTTGGTCCTTCAGTCGCACTTTCATTGTCTGAAGACGACGCACCCTTGCCACTTTGTTCACTGTTGTCCCAAAGAGAATTTCATCTCACATTCCATCTTCTGCATTAGACAAAGAGCACTTTAAAAACGTTTTTGCAATATTGACTGGCACTTCTTTCCAAGCTTTTAATATTCACTTAACTATTATTGAAGCTGATGCTCTTTTTATTTTGCCACTAGGTGTCAATATATGATGTCTTTATTCAGCCAGGCATCAGTCTATTTACAGACAGCATGCCTGTATGGTTTGTTACCTGACACATCAAGTGGTGGTAATTGACTTGTCATGCCACTAAGAGTTATCACTAGATCAGTGTTTTTGTTCCTTAACCTATTTGTGATTCTATCGGAGAAATGGCCATGAAACGCATCCATTGCAAATGCAGTCTTGTCTGCATTGCTGCTTTGACTTTAAGAATAATTATTCCTTCACCATAACAATAACAATAACAATAACAAAATGCTGAAATTCAATAACTTCAGTTTCAAATTCCAAAGGGAGATTTTGACTACCTTTTGTCATAATAAGCTTTCTCTTCACACCATCCATGACTAGCGCACCTCAATTCTCAACATGAAAAAAATGTAAAAACTGTGTTTCTTATATTTAAAGTAATACAGTAAATGGTTGCCATTACAGAATAATGCATGTGCATCAAGTTCTGTGTGGATTTTTAGCTTAAATCATGAAAAGCATATTCTGGAAAGAAAAAATTTGATGAGAAATGGGTCTACTCAGTCCAAGCAAGCACAATTTGGTAAGCATTCTGTACAAAGTCATATAGCTAAGATGGGTTAGTGGGCGAGCATAACCGTGATCACTCACACCTCATCTTGTATGCAGATGGAGTAACTATGTACTGATCATACAGACTGAAATCCTGATTTAGTGATCCCACATTTAGTAAAATCCCATATTTTGTGAATATTTGTTCTGGTCCCAACAGAAGACCAATCAAGGAATGTATTATTTTCTGATATTCAGTAAATTTTGATTTGGTAAATAGCCTGCATGTAGTGTTCCAACTGCCCAGAACTTGTACCTTGATTTTATGTGATGGTGGACACAACACAATTAATATTAACATTTTCTCTCTGCCTGAAATTGTTGTTGTACAAATATCTCTGATGTTATATCACAAACTGAACACGCGCTGAAACCATGACTGTTACGACATATTTGTTTCGGTTCTTTCAGTTGTATAATTATTTTAAAAAATAATTTTGTGTAAAGTTTCCTTAATTACAAATGTAAAGAAATTACTTAATCATAATTATATACTACAAGCCTTATAATATGAGGACAGTTTTATGCAATTTTACATAGTCCCCATTTAGGGGTAACCTTGATTTAGTGTAAGAAAACCCATTCCCTCAGAGATTCATTAAATACGAATTTCACTGTAACTTGAATATAAGGCATATGACTGAGATCATAAGTACCAGATTACATAGTACTGCACAATACTATTTACAAGAAATGATAAAGAACCTGTTAACATGAAACCTGAGAGAAAAATTTTCAGGTCCCCTTAGATTATATTACTAGTAGGATTTACTGTATTATAAAATATAATTTAAAATCATTACAGTAATTTCAGTGTTTTAGAAACAAACCAGCATACCTGGATATGGTTCATGTTGGCATTCACCAAAACACAAGCCTGTCGTACTTCTTCCAAAGCCCGCTTTCTGTGCGCCAGATGTTCTGGCTGGTGCACATCAATAACACACACCACATCCATTCTTGGTCTCTGTACTTGATGAGATGTGACTGTAGTGTGCCCTGAGGCATCACTATGACTACCAACACTGTCTGTTACACTCCGGCTTTCTGTTATCAGAGCATATAAAAGTATGAGATTCTATGTTCTCACAGTGGTGAATATTATGATTATGGTCTTCTGGGATGTGACTTCACGTAGTTTGGTAGACAGGCATCAACACATTTGAGGAATCTCTTATATCCTGAAGGTAGAGGTAACAGGATCCTACAAAATACTTCTACTTATCTACCAAACTGCATGGCATCACACCCCATAAGACAGCACTCACCATACAAAAGCAGATTTATACCACCTGTAGCACTGTCAGGGTTTCTGTAGCTGCTTCATATCTGAGGTACCGAAAGTTCTGTCTCACAAAGCCAAGTACGCGGCTGAGATTCCTCTATTCACAACAGCAGAACATTCATGGAAGAACGCTATTCTTTCCTAAACTGGTCGACTTACTATTGCATAATATTTCTGTAGTTAGGATGAGCTCCTAAAAATATATCTCAACTCTTTATAGAAGTTAACAGGACAACTGTAATCATAAATGCCCAAGATGAAAACAAATTCACCTGGCCCCCAAATTAAAAAAAATTGGGCTAAACAACTCAAAAGGACCAAGGCAAGTTACAATACAGTCAGTCATAATGCCACTCCTTTTGCATCTCATTAACATATTCCCGTAAGTTGTGGAAAGGTAAACTTGTGCTTTTGCTTAAATAAAGCAACACTCCATTAAGGCATACGGGTGAGTGGAGGTATTGACCCACGCACTCTTAATCTCACCATGAGACAGAAGACAGTGGTCAGAATCATGTCTCAGCTACTTTAACCCTGGGGAAAGAGCTACTCAATATGAGCCTGGTTGAACCTGAAACCAATCTGAGCACTGCGGAGAAGGAAAAATGTCTGCACCCTGCTGGGAATTGAAGCCTGATTACCTGGTTATGAACTGCTTAGCTTTATCACTATACTGACTACGCTATACATCAACTCTCATACAAATGTTAGTATGTACTGAAAGTTAGGAATGCAGCAACAGGATAAAATAAAACTTGTGATAAAGACATAAACACACCAGATAATGATTTAGATAAGAAGTGCAGCAAGAGGCCTGCAAAGAATAAACGCCATCAAGAGATATACATGCCGAGATATGAGTTACATGGCTAAAAACACATGCATGTAACTTAGTGGGATGCACCAAGCAAGGCTACTTCAAAGAGACACTAAGTTTCTCAATCAAAATGCAAGCCAACAGACAACAAATTTCAGGAGTGGTTCCTTACAGTGACAGGCACCTATTTGTTCGGAGCGAGTATGTGGTGATTCTTTGCCACTGCATGACCAAGGCAATCTGCTGAGATATTTGCAGGCAACACAGTAGGAGCATTATCACTACAGAAACCTCAGTGCCACTGAACTACGTACTTTCCTTACTCTGTAATCGGATAAGGGCCAGGTCAGAGCAAAGCCCCCTATTTTAAGACCAAGAATGTGAACACATGTGGCCTGATCAAAGCTAATGCACACCTCAAGGACACTGATGAATGCTGGGATGGGATTAGCAGGGGAAAACGAAGAAACTCGGAGAAAATCTGATCCCGTAACAATTGATTCACTGTAAATCTCACACAACATGACCCTGGACTGTAATTGAGGCTCCCTGGTGAGAAGCCAGCACCTAATTGCCAACACTATGGCATGGAATACCAGTGCCAAATAAACAAATATAGGCGATTATGAAATACTTCAGAGACAACAAATCAGAAATGAAATAAATTATTCTGAAATTAAATAAAATATGTGTATATCAAGCACAGTGACACCTTGCAAGTCAGGTCATATGGGAAAAAAGTACTAAATGGTACATGTGGTTAATTAAGCACCATGTGAGGCAAAATGCAATGATAATGAAGAATGAAAAGATACATATTAATTATTATATATTATTATTATTATTATTATTAATACTGCCACACAAAGTATTCAATGTCTGTTCTGTTATCTAGCTCTTCCAATTGATACTACAGCCCTTATGAACCCAGAGTGCTATAGTAAACACATTTCCTTTCCAATGTACTCTCCTTAGAGAGAGTCGACATGGTTAAATGATATCCACATATGCAGCGTCTGAAATAACAAAGTTTTCTTGTACTGCAATTTCTAAGTAAACAAAATCTCACATGATGGTATTAATTTTATGACATTTATACCATTATAATTAAGTTTATGCTCTTGGGTTTTTAAACATTCACCACAATAAAAATAAAGTTGTCCCTGTGCTTAATTAATTAAATAATTAAGCACTATGCCATGAAGACATGGGGGAATAGGGTAGATCTCCACCACTCTTGAATTCGGCACTGGATGGAGGTGAGTGGCCAGTTTCACACCCTGGCATGCTCTACCCCCAGAGGAATCACCCCAGTACTTGTTGAATAGGAGGCTGGTTGGGCCCCAGAGCTTGTTTGAACACTATGGAGAAGAGAAAAATCTTACCTCTACTATGAATTGAACCCTAGACATCCAGCCCACAGCCCATTATTATACTGACTGCGCTATCGTGACTCCTCATTCACCTCAATATGAGAATATAAACTTTGCATCTCATATATTTCTCCTTACAATATGTTTGTATAAATTAACAATATCTTATTTCACTTTTTCAGTGCTCAGTTTGTAAGTGCTTTTTGCAAGAATCATTATATTAGATCTTGTATTTCTAGAAGGGACATAACTTAATTATAATATATTTAAAATATTATTCAATATAGTAATTCCCAAGTACCATGCACTACAATGGCTAGAGCATATTAGTAAGTGAAGAACCAAATTACATATCTAAGAAAATTTGATGAATATTTACCTTTAATTAATAGAAACACAATTTTGGAGTGGATCAGTAGACTAATGTGAGAGAGACCAAAGTATTGTGGTTTAGGTGAAATCAAATCTGATGTAAACCAACTATACAGTTGAAAATAAACTAAACAGAAGCGACGAAACACAATCTTTTTAAACATGTGTAATGGACTGTATGTTTGATTTTAGGATCTCACAGCAGTTGACTATGAAGAATACTATCTTCTGGTATTCTACCAGACTACACAGTATCATAGGGGGCATGCGGTAGTGTAGTTTGTTGAGGCACTATGCTACAAGCCGGAAGGCCGCGGGTTCAAGTCCCGATGAGGTCATTGGATTTTTTTCAATTTACCTAATCCTTCCAGCTGCATTATGGCCCTGGGGTCAACTCAGCCTCTAACAGAAATGAGTACAAGGAATTAATTAAATAATTTTCCTGGGGAGTAAAGCGCGGCCGGCGCGTAAGGCTGACAACCTTACCACCATCTTTGAGTCGACTGTCTAGATAATGTGGGACCCTCGATGTCTCACAACCCTATGGGCCTTTACGACCTGTTACAGGGATAGCTTTACTTTTTTTTCTTACACAGTATCACATCATAGAAGGTAGTAGTCTTCAGTTTAACTGTAGACCAGTGGTTCTCAACCTTTGTCAGACCAGGGCCTGGTAAATTATTTTTTCTAAAAGATGAGAGCCCAGCATTGGGCCACAGCCCGGCGGTTGAGAAACACTGCTGTATACTATTGTCATGATGAAGTTGATGTGAAATGCTAACATAGCGCTGATAACGGTATCTATTCATAAGAATACACAAAATAATACAAAGTGATAGTGTTAAGCATAACACATTACTTCTGTCACCTTAAAGAATTTTAGTTACCTAACAAAATTAAAACAAATTCACACCTGGTGCATCAGAATCAGCTGTAAGTGGCATGCTGGCAGTTCCTGGTCGCACAATTAAAACTATATTGTTTTTATGTCATTGTGTGTTTGGTTCTTGCATAAAAATTTAACTTTATGCAATGTGTAGAGATTAAATTCCAGGTCACACTATATATACTTTAACTCTTACAGGCCATAATTCTGAAACAAACAGAAGGTTTGAAACATGATACTGTAATACAGATCCTAACTGTATACACAAGGAAGCAACTCTCGTAAGTGTAAAGTAGCAGCGTAACATACCAACTTGCAACTTTCAGTGCCTTGCATGCCTAGTTTATCAGATCAGTTGCTGATAGTGAAGTGTGTTCACCTTTTCTCATTATGCCCTTCCTATACTTTGCACAGTGACACATTATCTTTTTCCTGCGCTGTGACAAATTTAATTTTCTTGCTGAATAGCTTTACAAACAGATTATCAGTACACTAATATTGATACAATGATTATAACAGCTGTCTCCTGACAATGGCAAGTTCATTATTTATTTATGTTCTTTAATGCAATGCATAGTCCAGACAGGTTTAGCAAAAAACAGTTTCAAGGCCCAATCAATTAAGTAACCCATCTACAATGCCAGAGATATTTTATAAACACAGAAACCCTGAGTGTTCCAATGTTTCGTCAAACTGTGCGGAAAAACATCTTCAGGGTTAATGACTTTGAGCAAGGTTTGACAGCTCTCGCATTAGGCAGTGTTGAAGGTGAAGTGGTGAGTGGTTGAATATACCCTGAACATGGTAACTGCAAGGTTTGCCAAACTGAAAAACCCTCAACATTCAACATGGCATAATCACAAAGGAAGAAACCACACATTAAGCTGCAGTTGCAGAAACCGAAGGAGTACCAAATTCCTAGTCAGGACACATGACTGACCTCCACTCTGTTTCGAACTCTCTGTTAAGTGAACCTGAAGCACAAATAACAAAGTCTGTGTACTTCCAAGCCATTTCCATCAATTCCCCCATCTTCATAACTCACCATTCTACGATTCACTTTAACATTACCTTCCCACCTCCTGCCTTCAAAGTGGTCACGGTGAGAGAGATTTTCCTACCCAACATTTATATGCACTTCTTCTCCCTAATTTTATTTCCATATCCAGCCCAAAGAACTCTCCTTGAGTTCCCCACTTTTAATGTTAGTACGTGAAATGTATAAAACATGAAGTCTTGTGCTGCGAAGAGAAAGGTGGACTTGGACGAGGTAAAAAGAAAGAACAATGCATGTTTTAATTAAGCTCTAAGTTGTGTATTTTGTGTCTGTAATGTATTTTAACAATGCTCTCAGTAAAGCAGACTGTAGAGCAATGAATACTAGGATAATAATGAATAATGAATGGTAAAGAATATGGAAGGAAGTAATCATGGCTTTAAGGTACTATGGGATTTGGTCTACTTTGCTGATCTCTCGAAACAATGCTCAGATCTTACCTAAAATTATTCTCTACTCTCCTAATTTAAACTGAGAAATCATTGCCATATCAACACCTTCCACAAGCTCCCACCCCCCATTAAATTATAAACGTTATTTGCTTAAACTGTTAATAATTAAATAAAATATCCATATGTAGTGTCTCACACTATATAAATTAATCGGAGTAACAATATGACAATACTCACAAAACTGTAGATGGTTATCAAAATTTGTTGTTTTAAAATAACTACTCACAACTTGTAATTAAAAGTGCAATACCACAAATGTAAATGAATACTTGCTATGGAAGAAAACTCTGGACTGATGATGACAGAAGCAGGCTAAAGATACTCAGGCCTGCTGCAGCTGGCCAACAGGAATTACTCAGTATGTACAAGTTTAACTACGATGTGACTAAGATGAGATTCCATGGATTTTGTTATGTTCAGATATCAAGAAATATTATGTCATGGAAGTGGCAGCAGTGACAAAGACAAGACAGGATGCAGACGCTGAGTTATATTATGGTGATGACAGCAGACTTCCATTGAATGCTAGTTTCCTGTACAATATCCCATGAATATTAGGCTTAACAAAATCCCAAAGTATGTATAATGTAATATAATTTTGTAGTTTTTTCTCTAATGCTTAAAGATGCTTTGGTACACTTAACGAACTCCATGCATATGAACCCTCCTTGAGAAGCTGCCAGTTATGCAGCTACTAAAGAATTCCACAACATTTTAAGGAACCTGAAGGTTCATGCCGTGTTCACAAGAGCCCTCCATTGGTCCCTATCTTCTGCCAGATCAATCCCATCCATACCACCCCATCTTATCTCCCCAAGATCCATCTCAATATTACCCTCCCACCAACATCTACATATTCCTACTGGTCTCCTTCCCTCTGGATTTCCCACCAAATTCCTATACGCATTCCCCCCTCTTCTCCCTCATGCATGCTACATGCCTTGTCCATACCATCCTGACTTGATCATTCTAATTATACTGGATGAAAAGTAAAAGTTATGCCCTGTGCCTATTAATTAAGCACTATACAATTAAGGCATATGGGGGAGTGGATGTATAGAGCCACATTTTTTGACCTCAGCAATAGTTTGAGGTCAGTGGTCAGCTTCATGCACCTGACGCTTTACGCCCGCGGAAAGAGCCCCCAGTACCCATTGGATAGGAGGCTGGGTGGGCCCCAGCACCAGTCTGGACGATGTGAAGAACATAAAATTCTTGATCTTACCAGGACTTGAACTCTAACCCCTACGTCAACGAGCTCATAACCAGTCACTATACCGACTGAGCTATCCCAGCTCCTGATGGTACACCTAGTATTGTTAATAAAATAATTATGCATATCTAAAGATGCTAGGCTAAACTACAAGGGACAGCACAGGAAACTAACATCATTATACAAAACAATAAATTAAGTACATGATATCAGTCATAGGAATTAATCAAACTTACATATCCTACCTGAAAAAAAATTAATATGATTTATACCCAATAAAGTACAAGGAAAATGTGTTTCTGTTTAGTGGTACACTTGTGATATGATTCCTTCAGCATTTATCTGTAACAAACATACATCACAGCAACTTTGCTAGGAATTCATTCAAAAAAATGTACACCTTTCCATTTAAGAATAATAAAGTTTAGTTTGGCAAATGTGGATGTGGGTGATGACATGTTACTAACTGTTTCACAGCTCCTCTAAGGACAGATTTGTACCTTAAAGGCTGCCTGTCATTCTGATCTATACCTTTCATAAATTACTACAATATTAATTTCTTTAAAGTTGGTAATAAGTGTGGAACAAAAACCTAAGGAACATACATCAGAATCTTATAATTTAACTATGTGTAATAGATATGTGTTAATTATTCCAACGTACAGTATGCATTCAATCTCTGAGGAGTTTAATATTATTATTTTCTTAATCTGATTAAATTCTTACACAGATATATCAACTGATATATCTGATCAACTTAAATGTAATGCGAAAGATTTTACAGCTATTGAGAAAATATCAACAGACCGTTAAGATTGCAGAAGAAAGTGGCGTCTTCAATTAACAACATTTCCCTAGCATAACTTAATTGTATCAAGTATCCTCATTAAACCACAATCTGCCAAGCAATAAAAGAACAGCACTGCCACATTACGCAACAGCGTAACAGGAATCTTCTTTGGCAGCTCAAAACTGATAGAAAACAAACATGATTATATGTTAATTTTTTACTATACAACAGTTTACCAACTGGTGTATAAAGATAAATTTTAGGTACACTGAAGCCTAAAGAAACTTATTTCCAGACACACACCTTTTTGAAAACAGACCCAATATATGTAACATGTCTTGAATTTACAACACTAGTCACCTGATCAAAATAAGAGGAATATGCATACATCAGAAACCATGTCACTCTACTCAGATCAAAAACAATTCCACAACTTTTAAACTTATGTGACGCTTGTCAAACAATATTACCATCTCTTCTTTTTGTATCCTTCATGTCAGACATGACAGTATGGCAACAAACTCCACACTCATAAGGCTAAACTAATGAATTGCTAGTCCACTCATGACTATTGTTATGTAGTGATGAGAAGCATATCTTACCCTTCCCCATGGCTGGCTGCTCCCTTCCCATGTTTAAGGGTGTCATCTGGTGCAATATATGGGTACGGAATAAAGTGCGTGTAACGGGACGGTAAAGGGGTACAGATTTGTAAGTTTTCCCCGACTCCTAACTGACTTCATGGAGATGAGCCCTTCTTGAGAAACCACCAACCACTGTAATTTGGCTTGCTTCCTTTGATCTGTAGCTCCTTGTTGAACCCTGGCTTACACTTCTTCAATTCATAATAACCTAGGCTCTCTTTGGTTGAAATCTTCATGTTCTCTCCAACAACTTCCCAAGCTCTATTAACACCATGTCATCATCTAAGTTTCCCAAAGCTGTGAACCTATTTGAGATTTCAACCCAGTACTGTTCTCTGTCCTCTGTCTTGTTTACTTCCTTGAGACTGAATCTCTCCACATGAAATTTGTGCTTTGTTTACTCACTGACAGTCTCTCCCTATCCTTTAAATTTTCCTTAGTCAACACAAATGTGACTTACTCCCACTTTCCATAAACAGTACGGTTTCTACATCCACTACCCTGACTACCAGTAAGTAAACTTTCCAATAGTATCCGTGCAGTCTGTAACACCTTTAATACAACAAAACATTTCTTAAAAGCCAACCAACCTCATGATTAATTTATTTTTTTCAAGTCCTCCACACTCTACCTTCCTTCCTTTTCTTCCCACCTGAGGAAGTGAATGTCAATAAACTTCCGATCTAGAATTTCACTATACCACTCTACAAAGAAGAGGTGGGAACATCAAATATGCAACAGTCTGTTATAAAGACAGTCCACTGGTATGCATTGTGTGTGAAATTCCCACTGACTGTTTTCATTTCATGTGGAGATGAGATACACCCAGATGCAAAATATTATAACCCTGAATATTAACTGCACAGAGGCATCTGTCTGTCAAAGAGTTCCCTGTGAGATCTGAGGTTCCCACAGGAGTGGCTAAGAAAATTACTGTCTTCTGGGATGTGGCATCATGAAGTTTGGTAGACAGGTACCACTTCAGAGAAACATAAGACCCCCATCATGTACTCTGAAGATTAAACCTGCACATTCCTCTGAAAAGCTGGTAAAATTCTACCAGACTACATGGCATCACACCCCACAAAACTGTAATCAAAACAATGGGGCACTGTCTCTACAGTAGATTACATGGCTGTTAGGTTTGATGATTTATGGCTTGACAGTTAAAACTGAGAACTATTTAAATATTGTCAAATATTGTCAGTTCATAAGAAATACAAAAACTGGACTCCAAATTGAGATATGAATAACAGTGTTTCTTGGCTATTCATGTGCTCAAAGAAAAAGACTCTGCTAAGTTTTCCTGTCAGACAGATGCACTTAATGTGCAGTTTAAGCAGAAGCACCTTAAGTCCTATGGCTCAACTACAATATTAAAGCAGCTTAAAACCTAATTCATCGACATTATCCATGGCAGACACAAAAAAACTGTCATGATTATAATACTAATACAACAAATTGCTCCATGTAAATAATTCTCAGAGCACATAATAATGTCTGGAAAAAAGTGTTCATAAATTCACTGGAATATATTAGTTTTGATCTTGAAACAAGTAATTCTTTCGATTCTAATTGTAATTTGTAAGCTTAACCCACACACATTTCCTACAGCTCTTTAAAAAGATGCAGGCCTTTATGAAACTGGATAATATGGAAATCATGAATATTAAATATAATACCTTATTTTAAAAATGAACATATTCCACCTGTTTTAAGTTCTTCGAACTTAATGAAAACATGCCTTCTACACTGTAACATTATGCATCCAACTTTCACATTGTTTAAACTACCAAGTTTAGTTTTATGTAAAATTCCCTGTTTAATTCCCAAATAAAAAAGTTAAACTACTAGTATAATTAACTTGTAATTTAAAATCACGTCTTTCTGCAATCACAGTACAACCCACATATGGACTTGTCACTACTGTAACAGGAAATGAATACAGACGTCAAGGCCAAAGAAGTTACATTTATGTTTTTGATATGTATATAATCACGTTCAAGGCTAGACATGATTTAAACCATTATAACAAAACTATAATGCAGCATCACATTAAACAGTGCATGAATATTACAGTATTTTACACAGTCCACTTACACCACAATTCATGTACAATTTTCAACTTTACCGGTCATATAAAATATTACGTTCAATCACTTCCAATACTCTAAAAAACCAATCCCCCATCTTAACTCGCTACAGATCTCACACCAGTGCATAGCTGCTGCTCCCTAGCATCAGTTCTCTTAAATACTTGCGACTCTCCTTCGCAATGAAGTTAGAATTTGAATGAAAGATGGCACAAATTTCGATATTAATCTGTGGCGGAACTTTTAAATTGAAGTGACCTACTAATCAATTAAATTCCACTGCTTTTAACAGTTATTCATATTAATTAAAACACAAGCGAAAGATTGTGACGTCAAAGGAAGCTCCTTCACCCTGAAGATGGAAGCAGTGGGGTTTTCTGAAGCATATCTGCCTTTGAAACTACATGGTACCACACACCAGCTGGCCGTTACCTACAAATTATTAGATAACTAAACACATCATTTACATGAGAATATTACCAGTGAGAGATAGACTTCAGTAAAATTTCGACGTATTAGGGAGTGGGCACACAAAGGAAACAGGCAACTCCAACACAATTGCAATTTCCGAGAAAAGTCACCGATTTCAAGCAGGCAACTCGTTTCCAGATTAGCAGGCGCACACTGAGGAAACTTATGTTTGATTAATTGCTCACACCATCTTAAATGGGTATCTTCGTCCAACGTAATGCATAACTTTTTTTTTATTTCGTGCACTTACCCTCTGCAAGGGAAGATAACAATACTGATCCTGTCATAATAGGGTTGTAGTTGAGACCGGTTCAGACGGCGTGAGAAGACAGGATGACGACCATAAGGAAAATATTGGGGTGTTAATTAGCTTGCTTGAAGTAAGGTCAATTTATTTAAATCAGGAAATATTGCCTTCATACGCGACACGAGATTTTGACATGCGGTGCAACAGTTTTAGCAAGAGAGAAGACAGCTGATGATGTCCATGTACAGCCGAACCATGCAACGTGAAAGAAGAATGACTAAGTTATACATTCATAATACTATATTTCAGCATCTTGTTGCATTGTGGCAACATTTTTAGATACATATACAACAAAGTAAACAACATAAAAACACGTAAGTACAATAAAATTAACATCTGAACATATAAAGATAGCAGAAAGATAAAATTGTACTGATGTACTGTAACCGCAACATGAGGGAACACTGAAGGGTGACAGCCCGATTCTTTGTTTCAAGAACATGGTCTGCTTCACTGCTACAAAGACCAGGCAGGAAGCACCCCGCAGAGTTTTCCAGGAAATTCAGTTCGAAAGTTGACCGGCGGGATCCTTTGGTAAAGTTACACTTGACAGGTTTTGGCCCCGTGAGTCAAAATTGGGAAGGCCCGCAACGAGCGGTACTGGTATAATTTTTCAAGCAACTGTCAAAAAGGGCGTTAGGTCATCAAGGGTGAGAGTTCCTTGAAATAAGAAGCTGATTGGAGCAGTGAGAACTGGAGTAAACTCCCTAAATTCAAATTGCTCCAGTCCGCTGAAATTAGGGTAGTAACTTGGAGGCCGAGCTGAAGCTGTGAAGACTTCTTGTCTCACAGCAGTCAGTCTGCTGAAGGAGTCGCCAAATAACTCTCCAAGGACACAGCCGTAAAATTAGTGTCACTTCAAGTTTGGTCCAAAAGTTTAAATTAATGCAACAAGACGCTTAAATACAATATCCGGAAAAGCAAATATTGGGTGCATTAGTTCTTAAATGACAATTTAAACTTTTATTGTTTCGAAAGAACTTAACATGGATCCAGACTCCTTCATCTCATGACAAATTCGTTCCCTGCCTAGCATAGTCTGGGCGGCGTTTGTCTATATACCAGGCTCTTGCTCATTTAACTGCATAAAAACAAAATTAGCAGCTTCGTCAACCTTTCGTGCATTCTTAAGAAACAAATGAATCATTGACGCGCGTTATACGTAGAACAGCTGACACTAGGAAACCACATGGCAACGCAATTGTGAAAAGACTAGCATGCTCCGTTAACTGGAAGTTAAGTTTCTCAGTCTGTCCACGAGTTGCGTTGCCGTTTCCTTAATTTCCGCTGCTCCATTCACTAACATGTGTTCAACTCAGTCTGATAACAGTTCTCGGAAATTGAGGTTGGGTTGCGGTTGCCAGTTTCCTTGGTGTGCCCTCACCCTTAATGATGTGCTTCGTGTTTTAGTCAAAACAGAAGATGTGAAAAGCACCTTACTGTACAAACAGGAACAGAAATACACATGACGTCAGAAGGTCTGAAGAGTCTGGCCACTGGAGAAACTGAAATCTAAATCAGAGATTTAGCACTGACGGGTAGCACGTGCGTGAGGAATCAATCCGCAGGCCGCATTAAATTGCATTTTCTAATATAGTACCAGTGATTGAGGCTAGCTCTTTCTAAGGGACCCAACAGAATAGGTGTTTTCCTTCACCTGAGGACGGAAACAGATCCAGTTTCCGAAACGTCGTGTTTTTCTTAGTTATCTTAAAAAAAACCAGGACGGTGGATAAAGTCCGAAAACCCAACCAACATCTTTGTGTGTTATGCACCATCGTCAGAATCCCATAGCAACTACGTTAACCCGTCTCTATACTTTCATTTTGTCCCTATAAAGTTTAGACTTCATAGTATACTTGAACTTTCAGTACATGTGTGTGACTCAGGCCTTAGGCAGCAATCCTACGTGAGCCTACCAAATGATAAGGGTAAAGGCCGAGCAGGTTTGCACAGTGGTAATGCTCTCAACTCAGATTTGATTGGTTTTCTGTTCGAATCGGAGCCATTCTAATGAAGTTCTTTGGTAGTTTACATCACTTTCCAATACACCATTCATTTTGGAGTCGGGAGAGCGCAATCAGGTTAGCAACTGGATACGGGCTGGACGATCGAGGGGTCGGAGTTCGAGTCACGGTAGGGTTAAGAATGCTCGTTTCTCCACGTCATCCAGACCAGCTCTGGGGTCCAACCAACCTCCTATTTAATGGGTACCGGAGACTTCTTCCAGGGGGTAAAGCGGCGGAGGCTTGAAGCTAGTACCGAGTTCAAGAAAATGAGGATCTATACATCCACTCCCACATACGTCTTAGTGGCGTAGTGGTTAATTGGTTAAGCACAGAGACAACTTTACTTGCACCATCCATTTATTATCCTACTAACCGAGGAGGTATAGTCTAGCTGTTGACAGTGTCGTGATATAACCAACCGCAATGCGAAGGACAAGGATAATGCCTATATACCCATCTTTCTCTGGTTACTGTTGGAAGTGTGCATATACTTCCTAGGTGTCTCTGTCTCCCTGTTACCCAGCCTAATGGCCGGAGATGACTAGGTGGGCAAACAGTCCAGGTTAGCTAGGTGTGTGATAATAATAATAATAATAATAATAATAATGATAGTGGTGATGGAGTAGAGATGTTGGTTCAATAAGAGATTTGAAGTAAATCAGTTCATATTCATTGGTTGTCTGTAAACTCAATTTCAACAACGAAAATCAAGGAATCGAGGTCGAGTTAATGTTAGTAGATTAAAATAAGTTATCCTGAGAAGCACATGCAAACAAGAGTAACAGAAGCTCAAACAGTTCTGAGAAAAGTAGATCAGAAAACAGTATAAACGAGGAACTTACGCGTGTTTTTGCAGGAGCAGTGAATATGGCGTCTGTTAGCCATGTTAACGCACGCGCTCAAGATGTTCTAGCGATACTGAAACCATCCGATATAAATCACAAGGCTATAGGCCCTACTGCGACTCCTGCAGATATTTCCTGTTTTCCTAGAGATGGCTGAAATGAGTCACTGGATCGGTTCAGTGACAGGCGCTGCCCCCGCCATGTGACTCAGTGGCAACGTAGGTTCGCTGCTGTCCAAATGTCTCTCTGTCTGCTAGAACTGCCCATTGTCTCAGGTGTAGAGCTAATTTAGACGTTTTGGGAATTCGTTCAATCCCGTCTTCAGGTTCTCATTATGCTGACGTATATATTTATTGAAGAACGCTATCTTCTGGCACATAAGGCCGTGTATCCGTTGAAAGTCAACCGAAGTTTAGGAGGAACATATCGCCTCCATCTTCAGGGTCGAAGAATAAACCTGAAGATGGAGGCGATATGTTCCTCCGAAACGTCGGTTGACTCTCAATGTTATGTCCCAGAAGATAGTACCCTTCATAACTACCGCTGTGAGAACCGTAAATCCTAAATATACTTTTATTTATTTAACTCTGGTAGCAGTATGAGCCGGGTTAGCTCAGTTGGTATAGTGAAGGGCTACGATATGGACAGTCAGGGTCCGATTCCCGGCAGAGTCCAGACCGACTCCGGGGCCCACCTAGCCTCGTCTCTAATGGATACAGCGGGTTCCTGTCAGGCGATAAGGCTGCTGGAGCGTGAAGCTGACCACTCACCTGCATCTAGTGCCGAGGACAAGAATGGTGCTGCTATACCTCTACTCCCATACGCCTTCGTGGCGTGGTGTTTAATTGATTAAGCACAGGGGAAAAAATCACCTTTTTTATATAAGATTTTTAACCACCGTCCAGTGTGACTGATAAAAGTTGTGTTTTTAATTTTTCATCCTTCACTTGTTTCGGGTAAAACGACTCTTTTCAGAAGGATATTATCAACATATATGGAAACTACTATTACCATGTCATAGATATAAATATTATATCTTTTAACTAATGCTAAGTTGTACATTGATTTGGTAAAACTACCACAATATTTGTTTACAAGGCAGTGTACAAAATTTGTTTTAAAATCCAGTAATTCGGTATTGTCTCATAATTACCACAAAATTTGAGCACAGGTAAACTACACCTACAGAACGCCGGACTCTTGCTTTGTATCCAGGATATTTTGGGTTTGAATCTGGCCCTGGAGATGGGTTTCCAAAATGGGGTATTTCGTGACTTTCCTCAGTCTCTCTGAACAAATTTTTGGAGAGAATTTTAAATATACGATCACAGATCATTATCTC